ACACACACACACACACACACACACACACACACACACAGAGAGATGGAAAGAAATGTGAGAAGACAAATAAGACGAGAGAAACACCCACCCAATGATGGGGTGTTTAAAGCCCAGTTTGACACAGGTCTCCTGGATCTCCTTCTCCAGCCAGGCCTGAGGACGGACCAGGTACTTGACGAACTGAGACACCCACCAGACGGAGGGGTCGCCATGGAGACGCTGCAGTCGGGGGGCGAGGTCTTCTGGGATAGCGAGCGGGAGGTACGGAGGTCTGGGGTGAAGACTGTCCACGATGGGCAGCTCCACCACCTGAACGTCCCGGTCGTGAGCCTCACCTGTAGAGAAACACATCATAGCAACATTTTAATGGTTAATTCAATTATGCAACACGTTGTTCCAAACCTTTTCTACTGTTAGTGAGCTTCTAGCATCCTAACCAACACACAAATACATACACTGACGGTCAAAACTAAATATTAATCAAGATTTTTAAATGTTTTTTTAAGTCTTTCCCTCAGAAATCATTCTAATATGCTGATTTGCTGCTCAATTTTCAATTATTAATAATGATTCTTAGTATTATCAATAGTTTTGGCTGCTATAATGTTTTTATAATTTTTTGTGGAAACAGTGATACATTTATTTTCATTATTCTTTGATGAGTAGAGAGTTCAAATGAAAATAATTTATTTGAAACAGAAATCTTCTGTAATATTATAAATGTCTATAACTGTCACATTTGATAAATTCAGTGCAAATCATTGCAGCTTTTAAAAAAATCTTATATACTCTAAACATTTGAATGGGAGTTTCCACAAAATATTAAGCAGCAAAAACAGGGTTTTTTTCTTGAGCAGCAAATCAACATATTAGAATGATTAAAAAGAAATTCCTCAAAATTTATTTAATTTAACATATGACTTAAGATTTGACAAACAGCACACACAAATCATATGGACCACTTTTATGGTGCTTTTTTTGTTGTTGTAATTTTTAGAACTTAACAACTAGTCTCATTTACTTGCATTGCAAAATGCATAAAAATATATATTTAAATTTCAGTCCACAGGCTTTAGAATATTTGTTTTCTGTATTCTTCTGAAGCTTTTTTGTTGTCATTTTTGGAATTCAACAGAGTCTGTACTTTCATTTGACAGAAATAGCAGAAATAGCAAAGTTTGAAATGACTTGTCCATGCTGCCGTTTTCCATGCAATGCAGAAAATGCATTAACAAAATATAAAAATATTTAAATTGCAGTCGATTAGCTAGTCTTCTGAAATAAATTTTTTTTGTGATGAACAGACCTTAAAAGTCAGTATTCTCAGCTCTTAAAACTTTGCATTTATGCGCAACTTAAAAAATATGTTATGCTCCTCAAATAAATTAAATGTCTGACCTGTGAACACTTGGAAAACACACACAAATCATATGGACCCCTTTAATGCACTTCCATGAAACTTTTATGGTGTTTTTATTATTATTATTAATATATTTTTTAAATTTTTGGACAGAAGCTGTCAACTTTCACTTCCTTTTTAGTTTATATCCTGCAATCTGACAAAAATAAAAAATAAAATAAAATAAAATAATAAATAAATAAATAAAAATAGCAAGATTAATTCAGAACCACAGAATAAAAAAGATAATTGTCTCATAAACATCTCAAAATCTCTCAAAACTTAAACTTTACATTTGTGCACAACTTAAAAATTATGGTATGGTCCTCAAATAAATTAAACGTCTGACCTGTGAACACTAGGAAAGCAAAGTTTGAAATGACTTGTCCATGCTGCCGTTTTCCATGCAATGCAGAAAATGCATTAACAAAATATAAAAATATTTAAATTGCAGTCGATTAGCTAGTCTTCTGAAATAAATTTTTTTTGTGATGAACAGACCTTAAAAGTCAGTATTCTCAGCTCTTAAAACTTTGCATTTATGCGCAACTTAAAAAATATGTTATGCTCCTCAAATAAATTAAATGTCTGACCTGTGAACACTTGGAAAACACACACAAATCATATGGACCCCTTTAATGCACTTCCATGAAACTTTTATGGTGTTTTTATTATTATTATTAATATATTTTTTAAATTTTTGGACAGAAGCTGTCAACTTTCACTTCCTTTTTAGTTTATATCCTGCAATCTGACAAAAATAAAAAATAAAATAAAATAAAATAATAAATAAATAAATAAAAATAGCAAGATTAATTCAGAACCACAGAATAAAAAAGATAATTGTCTCATAAACATCTCAAAATCTCTCAAAACTTAAACTTTACATTTGTGCACAACTTAAAAATTATGGTATGGTCCTCAAATAAATTAAACGTCTGACCTGTGAACACTTGGAAAACACACACAAATCATATGGACCCCTTTAATGCACTTCCATGAAACCTTTATGGTGTTTTTATCTAATTATTTTATTTATTTATTTATTTTCATTTTTGGATAGAGCTTGTCAACTTTCACTTCAATTGTAGTTTATATCTTGCAATTCTGACAAAAAAAAAAAGAATTGCAAGATAAATTCATGACTTTTTTCTTACAATTCATCCCACAATTTTCATCTGTGTATCAGTCTTTTGTTGAATAATATACTGAGCTAATCACAATGCATTGGGGCATTGCAGATACATGCAGCGCTGCCAAAATGGCCAAGACAAAGCATTTAGCTGCCTGCTATGTGGAACGCTGCACTGCCAACGAAGCTTTCAAGGTAGGAAGCTCAACAGAATTTGAACGAGAGCCGCAGCATAAGCATCAAGTAGCTCAACCTGGCACTGCTCACTCAAGCCATTTATCACCATTTCAAGATGCATGCAAATGTTTGATACAAACGACAAACCATCGTTTAAAGCACAACCAATTCGCAATGCATCTAGCTGAGGCAAAAACAAAGAAAATGTCCAATTTGCATGAGCAAACTCATGTTTTTTTAACAAGAAGGCAGCGGCCGCAGCTGAAGACAATAGCTCACTCTTATCAGCATCTGTCTGCGTGCACCTGTGTGCTCATAACTACACAAACACTGCTGCTCCTGCTGCTAAATGATGAAAAATACATGCTTTTGTGCTGAATTCTTCATTACATGATCTAGTAACTGCTACTATTAGCTAGTAGCTGTTTATGGTAGACGAATGTAAAAACCTGGAGCATTTTATTAATTTAAAACAGTTCACTGCACAAAATGATCTTCTTATTCAGTATTTTTTTGTCTTGTTGTCCAGTACCAATATCTAAATATTCTTAAATCAACATTCATTTATCAAGACCAAGCAAGTTTTTGCTTAAAACATGAAAACATTTAATTGGAAGATATTTTTTTTCTTGTTTTAATCATAAACTCACTTAATTTTGATACATTTATTTATTTAGTTTTAACCACACTGACAGATATTTTTCTGTCGTTTTAAGCATAAAGCCATTTAATTTTGGTATAATTTTTCAGAAAACAAGGCATAAAAAGTAAGAGACATAATAGCCATTTTATTTCTTAAGTAACAGTATCTTTATTTAAGAATGTTAAGATATTTAACAAGAAATAATAAAGAAAAAATAAATAAAAAAACAAGAAAAATATCATATGTATTCAGTATCTTTGTCTTGTTTTTCAGTACAAATATCTAACTTAAATACTTAAATATTGAGTTATCTTTCCTTTAAAATATATCAAAATTAAGCCGGTTTTTGCTTAAAACAAGAAAAAATATTTGTCAGTGCGGGTGAGAAAAATAACCCTGATTTACCACTGAATTCAGTATTTATTTTATTCATTTAATTTCATTAATTAATTTATTTTATTTTATTTCACCACACTAAGAGATTTTTTTCTTGTTTTAAACAAACTCATTTATTTATTGCAGATAAAAAACAACAACACTTAATATCTAATAGACATAATGGTCATTTTATTTAGTTTATTGAATTTAGTTTATGTATAGGAATTTAAGATATTTTTACTGGAAAGCAATACAAAAGTACTAATTTCTGATTATAACAAGAAAAATATCTGCCAAAGGGGTCAGAAAAATAATCTTGTTTCCACTTTGAATTAAGTTTATTTTTCTGACCTGATTGCCAGATATTTTCTTGTTTTAATAATAAACTCACTTAATTTTGATAAATTTTTCAGAAAGAAGATATAACTTATCTTATAGTAATTTAGCAGCAATATCTCAAGTTATTTTGCTTCTCAAGTAAATGTATCTTGCTCTGATTGTTTAAATATTTGTACTGGAAAGAAGACTAAGTAAGATTTTATTTTCTCAGCTTGAGTTTACTGCATCTCAGTGGATTTTCATGCACTAACCATAAATAAATGCTTGACCTGCATGCCACAGGTTTCTCATAAATGTTTGATGCAGATGTCTCGTGTAGCGTTTAACTGCATTAAAATGTGGCATGCTTTATGTGTGACGACACAAAGTCACCCCTGAGACATAAAGCCTGATTAGATGTACTGCTGCTGCTTGCGTTACACGGAGC